TGTTTTATAGTGCTGTATCACTTCCTGCAAGTGTGCTACTTATTTCAGAAACAGCATGTATTGGGATGTGACATGTGGGCGCGGCCTAATGAAGATGGCTGTCCATACATTGCATCAGTATTATAGAAAGCATTGTATATTGTGATTTTTAATTTTTCTTATGATAAATTTAAAAACAAATAAATTTAACAACACATAGGAGTTATAAAGTGAGGTTAAGTATAGAAATACAACATTTTCGATTATTACTTACCCGGAAAAAAGTAGTCATCTTTTTTAAAATGAAGTGAGCAAACTCTTGTATGTATATGAACTGACATTTTTAATTTTTAAAGCTCTTTTCCAAACTTTAATTTGATCGATTTTCTCAAGATTACCAAATACATTTGTGATAGTTACGACCCGTTGCACCCGTAGGAAAATCGACTTGTACAACTTTTTACAGCACAAACGGTTCTGCACTTTGATTTTGCACGAAATGGAAATTTCGCTAGTTCCATATTATATAAAATATTAATAATCACAATTTGCAAAATAACACAGTACACAATAGCTGTTTATTACGATGCAATGCTTGGGCAGTTAAAATTTCTGCCACCAGGTGCCGTATCGTTTTATGTCAAATCCCAATATAAGAAGCACGTAAATCAAGTTAGGAAATTAGAAAATTTTGTTCAAATTATTATTTTATCCTGGCTCAGGATTGGACCATCCCCTTACACATGTGCCACCATTATACACAAGTAATTCCTAATATAACAGATGAATGTCGTATCTCATTCAAACGATTTTCCAGATTATATTTTCTGACATTTTATGACATATAATTCGTCATCAATAAGTCCGCGTGTTGAGACGAAGCGCGCAGACAGAGAGATCTGATATGCCAGCTAAATTTTCGTTAGGGAAGTCCATTAAGGCAGGCAATAAATCACGACAACATAATTGTCAGAACAATCGTTAGACGAACGCCCCCGAAACGGTTCCAATTATTGCGCTATTTTGTGTAATTCCCGGAGAAACACCGACCACGAGACCACGGTCCGGATTCATTAATCAATTACCGCCATAATCGGATAATTGCGTCCCTTTGAAAGGTACACCACGTACTACATTATCATTCAAGCAGCATCATTTATCACTTTGGCTATTAGCATAAGAAACAGTAGGTACATCAATCAAAACTGAAGAAAGAACAATTCAACGAATTCAGCAAAAATCTATTGATTAAGGAGAGTGACACCATATAAAAATAACAAAGAAATTTTCATGAAAACATTTACGTATATTTAAAAAGGTCCTTGCCTAATTTCAAGGTCAGTAGAAGATTCATTAACATGCTTTCTTAGGAAAACGTGATGGGATAGAGAGAATTTGAAAATTGGATAATATATTTATTTATTTACAAGGNTCGAGGAAAAAATGAAAAATTAGTTGAAAATCTCGTTTTTACTTGATAATACAATGATAATATTTATAATTGTCTGAAATAAATGCAATTTTAAAGTTTTAATTATTATTTAAACATATTAAAAAGTTTTACGCTCATTATTAATAAAGATTGAGACTAAATATTTTTTTGTTTCGAAGTTGAAATCAAGGCATATTCACTGCCAAGTCAGTTAAAAATTTTTCATATTATTCGTTATTTCTTATTTTATTCAAAGTTTTTTCTAATTTTATGTACTCTTGTCAACGATTGTACCTTCCAAACATCCTTAAGATCATGCTATACAGCGCGTGGTTAACTTACTGACTTCGAGCTTCTTAGCCATAAAGCGTTGTGTTGGTGGATTCACTTCTTCTATCGAATTGTCCAACTTTTTTAAGTAGTTCGACGAGGAAATCACATTTAAAGTACATTCAAGGATCAGTCCGGCTCTGGTGGTATCACGCAGGGAAACACTATATTTCAACAACGCATTGGCTAAGGTGCTAAAAGAAAAGTTCTAACTGTGGTGGTACCAGCGAATGATGAGGATACCGTGGATAGAGAAGGTTAGAAATGAAGAGGTATTAGAAAGAATAGGACAATAGAGGACTCTATAGAAGTCAATAACAACAATAGGTGAGATAGGTTGGTAAGACGCCTTTTCAGGCATAAAGGTCTACTTAGAGACATATTACAGGCAGAAACGGGAGTTAGGATGGGTAAAGATATACCTAGATTACTGTTCGCAACTAGTTAAGGATGTAGGTTGCTTCAGGTTTAGGAAAATGTGGAGATTAGCTCAAGATAGGAAAGACTGGAGGTGGGTGTCCAACCAGTCTTAGGACTAACGACCTTATGATGATAAATTAATAAAATTTGAAAAATTCAGTTGTATGCCACGTCCAAAAAATCGACCTGACATTTTTATATAAGTTCCGAGACCCTCATTTTAGTTAGCAATCCCAAAAAGTTTTTTAAATTGTTTTCACTCAATTAATTTTACAGAGGGCATCTTTTTGGTCGACAAACACTCGCAAACCTGTACATTTTTTGCTTTATGCTTTACTCCATTTTTGAAATATGTATTCGTACTTCATGCGACAGACATTACGTCGTATTTTTACATCTGGCCGTTTCCTTAATGCCCAACGAAAAAGTAAAAGTGGCATTCGTTTTACGACCAAGAATAGCTGCTGACTGGGTCAAGAAATTTCAATATTATTATTTATTCTCCCCCCGTGAGGACGTTATTTTTAAGAGGCAGTTTCGAGCAATCGCCCATAAATTGTCCAAATGGGCCATTCTTACGTGAACTGGTACGAGTGTGGTGACTCATACATTAAGTAATCGTTACGAACGCGTAAAGGAAAGTTTATTGCTAATAAAACGAAGAAACTCTAAGAATTTGTTATTAAATCATATCAACTTCAAATAGAGATTAATAAAAGTAAGACTTGTCATTAGCGTTAGCAAATTGGACACCGTAAATTTTAGATGGTAGTAGTTCTAACCCTACTTTTTGCAACTTATCGTTTAAATTAGAGTGTGGTCTCATAATTGCCCAGATTTTGAAGTATCTTATTCTAATTTGGCTTGTTCGGTTTTGAGACTAGGATTTGTTTGCGATGTGTCAAATTGAGTCAGATCCAAGTTCATCATTAAAAAATAAAAATGATTACTTTCTTTTTTGTTCCTTTTTTGGATTCTCCATACAGTAGTGTTTTCAAAAAGGAGAATTGTCGTACATCATTAAAATAATGCTATGTCCATTTACGTTAAGGTCATANGAAGTAATCGAAGCTGTAAATGGTTATTTTGAGGAGCTTGACGAATCAGTCTATAGAGATGGCATTAATAGACTGGAACACCGCTATGAGAAATGTATCAGCCTTGGAGGAGATTATGTTGAGAAATAAAAAAAAAAAATTTTTAAAAACCTTGTTTTTCTTGGTCAGGCCGGAAACTTATCAATCCACCCTCGTATGTTTCTGCCTAGACGTTCATGCCTGAGAAGGTGTCCTACGAACTTATCTCGCCTATTTTTTATTGCTTCCGTAGAGTTCCCTGTTCTCCTATTCCTTCTAATACCTCATAACTCTGCATGATATCACCAGGGCCGGACTGGTTCTTGGAAGTACTTCAAATGTGATTTTCTCGAAAACGGTGGACTTTTAACCCACCAAAACATTTACTTAATTAACTTTCTTGTTTTATAGTGCTGTATCACTTCCTGCAAGTGTGCTACTTATTTCAGAAGCAGCATGTATATAAGAAGCACGTAAATCAAATTAGGAAATTAGAAAATTTTGTACAAATTATTATTTTATCCTGACTCAGGACTGAACCATCCCCTTACACATGTGCCACCATTATACACAAGTAATTCCTAATATAACAGATGAATGTCGTATCTCATTCAAACGATTTTCCAGATTATATTTTCTGACATTTTATGACATATAATTCGTCATCAATAAGTCCGCGTGTTGAGACGAAGCGCGCAGACAGAGAGATCTGATATGCCAGCTAAATTTTCGTTAGGGAAGTCCATTAAGGCAGGCAATAAATCACGACAACATAATTGTCAGAACAATCGTTAGACGAACGCCCCCGAAACGGTTCCAATTATTGCGCTATTTTGTGTAATTCCCGGAGAAACACCGACCACGAGACCACGGTCCGGATTCATTAATCAATTACCGCCATAATCGGATAATTGCGTCCCTTTGAAAGGTACACCACGTACTACTACTCAGTTACTTAACAATATTATTGCTACAACTGTCCAACCGGAAGTTTTAATGTATTGTACATATATACTGTAATACAAAGGAATCGGCCGATGACGATGTTCATTTTACATACTCATAAAAACTATCGAATTCTCTGCAGAGTGCGACGCGACGTCCAAAGTTCCTGTTAAGGATGTTTGGGAGGTATGCTAAAATGCTACGAGACAAATGAAAATTTGGAAGAACGTTCCTCATTCAATTCTAAAACTCCTGTAAAAATTACAAATCAATTCACTAAACCGTTAAAAAGTTATTGAAATTTTAAAAAATTGTAATTTTACACGTCATTTTATGGAGATTCGTTAACCGAACAGATTAAATTCATTTTTATTAACAGAAAAAAAGCTACCAGAAATTTCAAACTTTTATAATAAGTAACTTGAACTCTGGAGAATCACTTTAGCGTAAGGTTATTCAAATTCACTAAATGGTTATCGAGGAAAAAATGAAAAATTAGCTGAAAATCTCGTTTTTACTTGATAATATAATGATAATATTTATAATTGTCTGAAATAAATGCAATTTTAAAGTTTTAATTATTATTTAAACATATTAAAAAGTTTTACGCTCATTATTAATAAAGATTGAGACTAAATATTTTTTTGTTTCGAAGTTGAAATCAAGGCATATTCACTGCCAAGTCAGTTAAAAATTTTTCATATTATTCGTTATTTCTTATTTTATTCAAAGTTTTTTCTAATTTTATGTACTCTTGTCAACGATTGTACCTTCCAAACATCCTTAAGATCATGCTATACAGCGCGTGGTTAACTTACTGACTTCGAGCTTCTTAGCCATAAAGCGTTGTGTTGGTGGATTCACTTCTTCTATCGAATTGTCCAACTTTTTTAAGTAGTTCGACGAGGAAATCACATTTAAAGTACATTCAAGGATCAGTCCGGCTCTGGTGGTATCACGCAGGGAAACACTATATTTCAACAACGCATTGGCTAAGGTGCTAAAAGAAAAGTTCTAACTGTGGTGGTACCAGCGAATGATGAGGATACCGTGGATAGAGAAGGTTAGAAATGAAGAGGTATTAGAAAGAATAGGACAATAGAGGACTCTATAGAAGTCAATAACAACAATAGGTGAGATAGGTTGGTAAGACGCCTTTTCAGGCATAAAGGTCTACTTAGAGACATATTACAGGCAGAAACGGGAGTTAGGATGGGTAAAGATATACCTAGATTACTGTTCGCAACTAGTTAAGGATGTAGGTTGCTTCAGGTTTAGGAAAATGTGGAGATTAGCTCAAGATAGGAAAGACTGGAGGTGGGTGTCCAACCAGTCTTAGGACTAACGACCTTATGATGATAAATTAATAAAATTTGAAAAATTCAGTTGTATGCCACGTCCAAAAAATCGACCTGACATTTTTATATAAGTTCCGAGACCCTCATTTTAGTTAGCAATCCCAAAAAGTTTTTTAAATTGTTTTCACTCAATTAATTTTACAGAGGGCATCTTTTTGGTCGACAAACACTCGCAAACCTGTACATTTTTTGCTTCATGCTTCACTCCATTTTTGAAATATGTATTCGTACTTCATGCGACAGACATTACGTCGTATTTTTACATCTGGCCGTTTCCTTAATGCCCAACGAAAAAGTAAAAGTGGCATTCGTTTTACGACCAAGAATAGCTGCTGACTGGGTCAAGAAATTTCAATATTATTATTTATTCTCCCCCCGTGAGGACGTTATTTTTAAGAGGCAGTTTCGAGCAATCGCCCATAAATTGTCCAAATGGGCCATTCTTACGTGAACTGGTACGAGTGTGGTGACTCATACATTAAGTAATCGTTACGAACGCGTAAAGGAAAGTTTATTGCTAATAAAACGAAGAAACTCTAAGAATTTGTTATTAAATCATATCAACTTCAAATAGAGATTAATAAAAGTAAGACTTGTCATTAGCGTTAGCAAATTGGACACCGTAAATTTTAGATGGTAGTAGTTCTAACCCTACTTTTTGCAACTTATCGTTTAAATTAGAGTGTGGTCTCATAATTGCCCAGATTTTGAAGTATCTTATTCTAATTTGGCTTGTTCGGTTTTGAGACTAGGATTTGTTTGCGATGTGTCAAATTGAGTCAGATCCAAGTTCATCATTAAAAAATAAAAATGATTACTTTCTTTTTTGTTCCTTTTTTGGATTCTCCATACAGTAGTGTTTTCAAAAAGGAGAATTGTCGTACATCATTAAAATAATGCTATGTCCATTTACGTTAAGGTCATATAATAATTTAATATCCTGAAACTGTGTTAGGGTTCGTTAGTTTTGGTAGAAGACGCACCTCCACTCCTTCCTACCCTGAGCTAATCTTCGCATTTCCCTAAAACTAGAACATCCCACATCCTTAAGTATTTGTGACGACCTTATGATGATAATGATACCATACTTTTGTGTCAATACCTCCTCTATTTTCTAAAAACTAACTCTAATTCGTTCTTGCTAGATACTAATACTGCTATATCATTTGCAAATTTAGATATGTTAATCTTCTGCATCTTTATATCTTACCCTAAACCTGTTCTGTTTCTAATAGTGTTAATGGCATCTTCAATAAACAAATTAAAAAGTGGCTGTGACGATGAACATCCCTGTCTAACTCCCTTCCTGATATTTACTTCACTATATATCACTATTCAATCCCTAAATTTCATGTCATCACAATCATAGAAAGTGAAGATAGCTTTTATTTGCTTTGGTTGGGAAATGGACATTTTTGAAAAAAATTCACTATAACAATCACATTTGTAAATGTTTTGTAAACATAACATGCTCGACCTAAGCCACTCCATCATTTACATATTTTGGTGGGTTAATGGCTTTCCCCGAATCGTTTTGTTTTGAGCTCTCGCCTTATGTGTTTATGTTAATACCACACGCTATAACTCAATTTATTCTAAAGCAAGAAAATCGTTTTGAACGAAAAAATAATGAAAACGCAATATCGTTTGTATTCTTCGTGTTTTCACGAAAGCAGCGTGTCGATTTCGGTAAAATCATTTTCTTAAATGTTATCTACCTCTAGCCGATTGCATTTTATTTCTAATTTTAAAAAAAAATTAGGTCGCGGCATGACTTGATTACAATCACGGCATCAGAAATCAATTAATTTGGATAGAACGAACACAAACATTTCAATCCGGCTTGTGATCCCTGTTGATTGGTCAAAAGAAAAACAAAAAAAAATTCAATAGGTAATCTATGCGATATATTTTTAGGTCATGACACATCAGTGGTGGCTCGCGAATTCAAAAATAGGCGAAGAGCTGCTGCAAAAGAATTGAGAAATACAAAGTTTAGAATTATATTCTCCATTTCTTCTCTTAGTCTGGATATGACTAAGCAAAGAATCTACACACTTATGGGTTTGAAGGTTTATATTTGTAGGATTTGAATTATTATAATATAGACAGTTGCTTGCACAGGTGCAAGAGCGATACCAGTTAGGTGGTGGTAGATCGATAATTTATTTTTACCTATGCGTGCATGTTGGGGTACGTGAGAGACCACCGGAGTAGAGAGAGTAGATCAAGGTACGAAGACGTTGCTGTAAGACGGTACATTTTATTTAGACGGAGCATTTTTGCCAAATCAAAGACGAAAGACGTATTTTTGGCTATTAACTAAGACGTGTACAATGTACACTGTACATTTGAAGAATCGATACATTGTAAATAAGTTGTTCCTGATATTTAGTTCTGTTATTCGTTTTGATGTTTGATGTTCGTTGTTCTTTTTCTTCATTATTAATATTATTATATATTTATCAAATCACCCGGAGCCTTATTAAACAACCCCTACACACAAGAAAAAGCCTACATATTAGTTTGTGTGATGAACCAACACCGACGATTCGCCTCTATTTAGGAAGTTTTATCAAGGTAGGTTCTTTAGTTCTTTAAGTGCTTATCTAACTTAAGAACCTATCTTGATAAAGCCTCCCAAAAGGAGGTGCAACGTCGGAGTTGGTTCCTTATACAAATTAATATAAACTTTTAACCCTTAAGTGCTTAGATTCTTTGCTTAGGTTCAGCCTTCGAATATATCTGAGGATATGTGCCAGAAAATGCGCCAAAAAAACATGAATATTTCGAAAAAAATAACTTTTGGGTGTTTCATTCCTACCAGCCACTAATACTGGTGGGCGGGCAGTCCCTCCGGACTACACCGGAAGGTAGGGCGGAAGGCCCTCTTCAGCCTGCTTTCAGGAATCGTGGGAATGGGTGGGTGGTGGTTCGGGTGAGAAAGATGAGACGGACAAAATGAAGACAGAAGAAAATGAAAGATTATCTCTGGAATATTACTGCCTCAGCATTTGCCTAAGTGATCCAACGAAACCACAGAAAAACATGGACCAAGGCAGACGGATTCGGAATCCAACCGGCGTCCTCCCGACTGCTAAGCAATGGTCTAAACCTCTAGGCAATGCCGCTCGGTATATTTCGATTTAAGAGCAGGTATAAGTATCCCCAAAACTAATGCTCGTATTAGTACACGTACCTAAAGAGATCTCTTCCCTCTTAGGACCCGGATGGGGGGATTTAGAAGAAAACAACCCGCTCGCGCTGGCAGAGGAAAACTACTACAGAGGCTTACAATTTTATTTGCATTCGCTATTTTTAATGATTTAAACAGATTTAAGAACAGACCAATAACAACACGTTCCCGGTGGTATTAAGTTCGCAGTTGAATTGATCTTGCATTTCAATATTTAATAACCCAACCCTATGCAGTTGAACTTTGACATTTCTCAGTGGCTGCTTGGAAAATCTACACTGGTAATAATACATATAATTACTATTTAAAATGTTTAAAAGCGGGGAAAAACCGGAAACAGAAGGCGCAATTAATTTCAAGTAGTTACAGCTAAAATTCCAAGTTTCGTTTAATTCGTTTTATTCTCTATCATCTCTTGCCGATTGTTTTCTGTTTTGTTTTATCGAAGCACTAATCGTGCACTCTGTCAGTAATTAAATTTTGTCAATAGACCAATTTATGCACGGCGTGTGGTTTGGGCTTTCTTTCCGTTGTCTAAGGGACAAAAGAATCGAGAATCGTTTCTTGAAGAAAATAAGCTTCCTTGCATTTCTATTGTCTAGAGTAGCCTTAGTTGGAAATTAATGAAAAGATATAAGCTTATGGTGCAACGCAAAACAGAATAATAATACCCCTTTCATAAACAATTGTTTTCGGTTCTATGACAATATTTTTCAATCGCATTTTTACCGTTTGTATAAAATAGTTGATCCTTGAGTTCCGCTTTGTTCGAAAATTTATTGCATTATTTTACTACTAAATAAAATTTTTATTTCTCTCTATTTATCTTTTAACCTTTAAAAATTTAATGAATTTTATATACAAGGTTGCCCAAAACAAATGTAGTAGACTTCACTATTGATTAAACTCACAATTTAAAAACAAGTTGTGTGATATCGTGAGACATACGGTACGAACAAGATTTCTTGGGTTACTCAATAAAAATTGAATCCTAACTAGCGAATGTGTTTGTTTGTTTGCTACTCTTTCACGCTACTCAACCGATCATCTTGAAATTTTGTACACACACTGTCAGGTATACACAAAAGGACATAGGGCCCTCTTATTTAGAAACAAAATACTGGTCCCGACGGATAGAACAATTAGTTTTATGTGGTCGTCGATGATTTTTGCCATGCATTTAGGACATCGACGCGAGCGAAGCCGCGGGTAAAACCTTACATGAAATTTTGTACACACACTGTCATGGATACACAAAAGGACATAGGGCCCTCTTATTTAGAAACAAAATACTGGTCCCGACGGATAGAACAATTAGTTTTATGTGGTCGTCGATGATCTTTGCCATGCATTTAGGACATCGACGCGAGCGAAGCCGCGGGTAAAACCTTACATGAAATTTTGTCTCACACTGTCAGGGGTACACAAAAGGACATAGGGTATCTC